GGTGTCTGTGTCTGAGAGTGCCTCTCTTGTTCTAATTTTTAGTCTTGGTTCAGTAGGAGTTCTTGGTTAAATTGGTGCTATTGGGCTGTTTCTTCAGGGGCAGCTGATCTCAGTCAGTGAAGTATATATTTATGATTCTGGTGATCTGGTTTGGTGGCTGGGCAGCGCCTTCTTCTGTGTTCCCAGGTCACGTTTTGTTCATTCGTCAACTCCTCAGCTGATCTTGTTTCTTCAGACTTCAAACTGTAGGGATCTGAATCCTCTCCCGGATGGATTTCAGCTGAGCGGGGTAGTCTCACCAACACCTCCAAATTGTTGGGTTTTGTAGGATCAGCAGCTGGGCCCTGGGTTGGCCTCAGATGGAGTGTTCAGATTCGTTCTGGTTCCATCCCACGGAGATAGCTTCTTCCCCGGGTGTTGGGGTTAGAGGCGTCCCTGTGCCAAGCTTTTGATTAAGAGTTTGTTTTCACTAGCTCTTCAGCGGGAAATAGCTCAGGTTGTGGTCTTTATTGCAACTGTGTTTCGGCCGCTGCCTGATGTGCCTGCCTGCCTCTGCCGGGCCAGGCCTACCTGCGTCTGCTTGTCTCCGCTGCCGGGCCTGTCTACCTCTGCGGGCCACTGCCGGGCCTGTATGTCTCTGACGGCTGCCACCGGGCCTGTATGTTTTTGCCGGCTGCTGCCAGGCCTCATTGGATTTAGTCTGACAAGGTCTCTCCAGATAGCCCAGGATGGCCTCGAACATAAGACCCTCCTGCCTTCTCTGAGTTCATACACCACTATGCCTGACTGCCACAGTCTTTCCCTATGTGCTTATTGCTCTCCAAGTCCCACCAGAGACACATAAGCATCTCCTGCGGTGCAGGTTCTCACCAAAACTTGATCAATTTTACCAGCTTTGTGATTAAAAAAGAAACATTTGGTGTCCTCCCAGTTTGCGTTTCCCTAGTGATTTACAAAGGTGAGTACTTCCACTGTTTTAATCTAGAACTGCACTTGCTTTCAAATTATACTACAGAGTCAAAGGGATAAAAAGCAACATAAGAAAAAACAGAACAGACACAAAAATCGACAGAACAGAATTGATGACCCAGATATCAATCCATACAAATACAGTTTATATGATTTTTTTTACAAAGATGCTAAAAATATATATCAGAGAAAAGATGCCATCTTCAGCAGATGGTGCTGGGAAAGCTGGATTTCAATGGGTAGAAAAATAAAACTAGATCCTAGTCTCTCACCCTTCACAAAATTCAACATCTGATGGATCAAAGACCTCAACATAGAACTTGCTAGTCTGGCAGGGTGTAGTAGTGCACACTTTTAATCCCAGCACCGGGAGGCAGAGGCAGGTGGATCTCTGTGAGTTCAAGACCAGCCTGGTACTGCAAAAATTGCTAAAGGGAAAAGGCATATTTCAATGTGCAGGTAGGTACAGGTGAAAGCTTCCCGAATAAGGCTCCAGTAGCATAGGAAATATGACCATCGATGGACAAATGTGTTTTCATGACACTTAAAAGCTTCTGTACAGAAAAAAAAAATGTGAAGTTATCAAACAGTCAGCCCACAGAGTGGGAACACATCACTGCTAGTGATTCATCCCACAGAGGACTAGTGTAAAGAACATACAAACTCAAAAACTAGACATTAAGAAAGAGCCCATTAAAAATGTTTCTGGGTCTCGAAAAACCAAAAAAAAAAAAAAATGTTTCTGGTTGTTCCTTGGATTCCTCTTTGGGGCAGTGCCTGTCCCTCTGATACCCACATCTCTGTATTTTCTTGTCATTTACCTACAGCACTTGGGAATAGATCTGAGGAGAGGTGTGTCTAGCCACCCATAAGAAGCATAAATCCATTGCACACTGTCCAGCTCTCTCTGGTCTCTCTACCATGTAGGGTTTTATCCGCTCAAACAAGGAGCAAGTGTTGAAAGTTTACTACTTGCCTGGAATACCTGAAGTCTTTCAGAGAAGCTTCCAGATACAGATTGCCCACCTGGACCCAGAAAATATCACTCTGTACGGAGAGGGCATCTTTCCCCGGATCAGCCTTGATCTGCACAGGAACCTCCGAGGTACCATCACCCATGGCAGTAGCTTATCCCCAGAGGACAAAAACTACCAGTGCTTTCTTTAGCTTTGCTTTGCATCTTTGAAGGTTGGTGGCTACTCACTTTGTTTTCTCTCTAGTACTCTTCTGTGCTGTGCCTCAGTCTCCAGGGGTGCGAGACAAGAGTTAAATTTGACTCAAGCTGTGACCATTGCAAACTAAGACTCCTGGCCAGTTTTGCCATCATTAAACTCCCTATAGACAGGAGAAGTGGCATTTGGACCAGTGTGTATTCTCTCCAGCCAAAACGTCTCTCCCAGTCTCCTGTCCCAATTACACACTCGGTCTCTTCATGGTGGAGTGAGAGTCTGGGTACTATCGGGTATAGAACTCTCAGAGTAGAACCTTCACAGAAGCAGCCACGCCCTTCAGACCCTTACTCAGGGGCCATGCCTAATAGGCTGAAGTTACATGTTAGTTATTTGCCTTCGTGCCTTTTCTGGCCCCATGGGGTGCCCTGAGCCATCATCTTGTGCCAGGCTGGTAATTCTGCCTTGGTAGGTCCCAATACTTGGCTGAGATGCTCTTATAGCCTGCTCTTCCTGACCCAGGGCAGGACCGAAGGCCAACAGGAACTGCTTGTTCTTCATGGCTTCCTTCTTTGCCCTCCTTGGATCCACTCTCCCTGCAGTGCTTCAGACTAACGCCACTTCCCAGCCCTCCTCCTCTAAAGTCACAGATTCACTGGCGCCACATCATCCATTAAATTATAATTACCAGCTCCCTGAAAACATATGTTTTCATATTATATTGTGTTATATTTCATATAGCATAAATGTTAATAAAGCTAGGACACACTACACCCCAATAGCAGAGCTCCAGCCAGAGGATAACCAGCTGTACACATACTCTGAGTCCTCAGAGTCCAGCCAGGACTAGCTTCAGGGCCTCCTTGGCTGCTGAAATCTGCACATGCACAAGTCCCACATAAAATGGCATGGTATTTGCATGGATCCTAAGGGAAGTACACACACCCTCCCGTATACTTCAACCCACCGACAGACTCCTATAATGCCTAATACAACAGAAGTGGTCTAGAACCAGTGATTGCACTCAAGTGCTAGGAGATAATAATGAGAAAAGGTCTATACAACTTCAATACAGATGCACTGTTTTTCCGAACAGTTTTGGTCCATAAATATTTGACTTTGTAGATCCAGATCCTGCAGGTACAGAGAGCCAGCTGCGAAGGTCAGGAAAGAGATCTTTGCCCCATGGTTGAAAATTGAGCTCCCTGTTAGCATCATAACACAGAGAGTGTGGTTATCAGGAAAAGTTTTCAGTTGCTCACATCTGAACATTGTTGGGCTTAAGTGTTGACTACAGTTTCAGCATTTCCCCTTGTTTCACAGTAGGCTTTTTAATGTCTTTACCTATTTTTACCTTCAAAGCATTTGACTTTGCCGTGACTTTTGGTGAGTCCAAGTGTCTGAAATCCCTCTGCTAATTGTCTCCCCGCTTCATTAAGGGTGTTGTGGAGCATTTAGATTTAAAGTAGCTTGATGCCAACATATCCTATGTGTTAACTGGGAGGGACTCAGTGGGTGAAAAGCCACTGAAAGAGTGGCAGCTGTCTCAGCGTGTCCAGCACTGAAAGGGACTGTAGGGTGTAGAAGGTCTAGTGTGAGAACTGAGCAGAGTTCCAAGGGAGCCTGTTAGTGTCTCATACTCCTGAGGAGCAGCTCGTAGCTTATGTGCCATGTCCTCAATGACATGTGCCCTGTCACTAAGCTCAGTGAGGTCAGATACAAATTCAGCTCACTCACAAAGTGGAGCAAATATGGCAGGTGAAGTGTCAAGCCATTCCCTTTCCTTCTCAGCTCACAGGGAGCTGAGAGGCCAGGTGTGGAGCAGAGCACACCTCTGGCCCCGCTGATTCCTTCCCTCTGCCTCCACAGGCAATGAAAAGTATGAATGCTTCTTGGAGCAAGCAAAGAAAAACATGGAGAAAGAGTACAATAAATATGATTCTCTAAATCACTATGAGATGATAACTGACGAAATCCCTGAGGAGGAGACCTCAGAGGTGAGAGCAGCTCCACCTTGCACAGAACGTGCGTGAGGAAAAGAGCATGTGCAAAGCGGGGTGGGACGATGGCATGGGACGTCCCAGGAACGGAGTAGAAAGAGATGCAGCCAAGGCAAAAGAGGGACATGAGAAGAAGGCAAGGCGAGCCGGAAGAGAGGAGCAGCTACCGGGACTTTCCTCAAGGAAAGGGGGCAAGAGGGAGCCCCTGAAATGTTTGAACCGGAAGTGCTATGGCACAATTGAGTTTGCTTCTCAGAAAGACCCCTGTAGCTGTCTTGTGGGCTATGGGGGGACAGGGCTTAATGGAGGAAGAGCAGATATGAGGGGATAGGGGCTTTTTAAAGCTGCTGGGATGATTCTAGGTGAGAAGTAGTTGTGGGGCAAACATTGGTGATGTCAGTCAAGGAAGAGAGCGTTGAGGGGGGGCAAGGAATATTCCAGGCCTGGAATGATGGACCCCTCGGGATTGACTGGATATGCAGTGAGGTAGGGATGATGTTTCACTTGGGTACATCGTAAAGAAGGCGTATTGGGAGAGGAAACTCAGAAGGAAAAACAAGTGTGAGTAGGAAAAGGAGGTGGAGAAATGAGTCCAGATGGTCCATTTTTGAGCATAAAATTGCTTTCTTTTTATTTTTTGAAAATTTCATACACATTTATAATTTATCTTAGTCAGATATGCATCTCCCCACTCACTTCTTCCAGCCCGCCACATCTCTCCCATCTGTTGAAATACCCCAACCTCTCTCTCACCTCCCTCTCAACTGCATGCCCCTTTTTAACCACCCAAGTCCAATTAGAGCTGCCCATGTGCTTATATGTATGAGATCATCGAATGGGGCATAAGCATCCTACCAATATCCACCCCTCCCCGAGAAAAGTCTCCCTCCATCGGCAGCCATCACCATTAGCTGCTCAGTAAGAGGGCAGGGCATTGGAAACCCCTCCCGACTCCATGCTGGGATTTTTACCTGACTTGATCTCATGGGAGTCTTGTGCAGTAGCCACAGAACTTAGGAGTTCATGTGCATCACAGCCATGCTCTGTCCAGAAGGCAGCCCTTCACAGTACTCCTCCTTATCCTCTGGAGCTTACATTCTTTCAACCCCCTCTTCCAATCATGTCCCCTGAGCCTTTGTGAGGGGATGCAACATTGATGTCCCATCTACAGCTGAGTGCTCACAATCACTTACTCTCAGCATTTGGAACTGTTGTAAGTCTGCATTAAACACTGGCCTCCAAATATGAAACCTCCATCTATAACACTAACTCCAGGGAGCCAATGCCTCTGGCTGCTGTGGACCTCTGTGTTCGAGTGCACATAACCACAGACACACATCTTCACATAAGTAAAACTGTAACGAAGAACCCGGGGGCAGCGCATCCTGCCTTTGAATCCTTGCATTGGATCATAAAAATGGCCATCGAAGCAGGAGTCATGCAGAGAAAACACCCAGTACTTCTGTGGTGCTTAAGAATTTTTTGTCAAAACATTTTTATTTTTAAAAAATATGTATTATATATTCATTTGTCAGGGGACTGTGTGTGTGTCACAGAGCAATTGAGAGAGTCAGAGGACAGCTTTCGGGAGTTAGCTCTTCCTTCCACCTAGGGATTGAACTCAGGTCATCATCACAGCAAATGCCAAATGCCTCTTTACCTGCTGAGCCACCTCCACCAGGCCGTTTGTTTGTTTGTTTGTTAGTTAGTTAGTTTTCAAGACAGGGTTTCTCTGTGTTGTTTTGGTGCCTGTCCTGGACCTCGCTCTGTAGACCAGGCTGGCCTTGAATTCACAGAGATCCTCCTGGCTCTGCCTCCCGAGTGCTGGGATTAAAGGTGGGTGCCACCCCTGTCCGGCCATTTTTTTAAACTCTATTTAAATGAGAGATGGCTCAGCAGGTAAGTGCACTTGCTGCTCTTCCAGAGGATCCAAGTTCAGTTCCCAGCACCACATAGTGGCTCACGACCATCCCTGACTTCAGTTCCAGGGGATCAGATGCTTTCTTCTGAACTACATGGACACCAGGACACCACCATTATGTGGTACATATAAATAAATGTAGGCAAAACACTCATACACATAAAATAAACAAATCTTAAAAACATTTTTTAAAAAGACCCTTCCTCATTTATGAGTGCATGAGAATTTATTCATTGTGAACCTAATCTTTACTTACTACACATTCGAAACATGGAAGGATCAAAGAATCAGTAGTTTTCCCTTTGTGGGAAAAAAATCTTACCAACACTAAATAAAGAGAATACATATTCTCTGAAATGCTCTTCCTCTTGCTCTAGATAAGTGCTCATCTCCAGATGGAAGTAGAGCGGCTCATAGTTCAAGACTATGCCCTGGAACACCAGAAAGCAATCTCCTCCAGTACCACGGAAGACACCTACTTCAGCCTTCGGAGTCGCCGCAAAATAGCCAAGTGAGGGCCCTTTCGTGTCTGTGCTGCTTTTGCTTCAGAGTGTGGTGAAGCAAACAGGTTTTTGTGTGTGTGTGCATCTCCTAAGAAACTAATTGATCACCTAGGACTGAAAGCCATGCACCTCGTGTTAGCTGCCGTCCCTCCTTTGTGTGAAGCCAACTAGGCAATTCTGGATCTTAAGGGCAGGGTACCACATCCAATAGACAGGCCTCCATTTCAGGTTCATGGGGACCCACACTCAACGTGTTGCTGGATAATGGCCACACACGTGGACTCCTGAAGGATGCACGGAGTGTCTAGTCTCTCTTCTAGTGACCCTTAGCTGTTCTCCACTCTGGAAAACAAAGTTGCAGACAGGCGAGAACTCACACTCTCTCCTTTTTGGGAAAAGTGGCCTTCCTGGCTTGAAAGTGACTAGTAAGGACAGCCCCTTTAACTGTTTCAGAGTCCAGCTGCCAGAGTACATCCTGGACTTTGGCTACATTGTGCTTGGTGATGTCCGAACCCACATCATCAAGATCACCAACACCAGTCACTTTCCGGTGTCCTTCCACGCAGAGAAGCATGTCCTTCACGACACAGGTACCAGGAGCCCCCCTGCATGCCCCAGCCTTCTAGAGCAGCATTCCTGCTGTTCATCGGCTGGAGGAGTTGCTGGGTAACTCAGCGACACTTTGGTCAGCCTATCCCAGAGAGCCTGCTACGCAGAGCAGCTCCTTTGTGCTCTTTCCTTGCTCATGAAAACTGTTTTCCTTTGTCTCGGTCTAGGCTTCAGCACTGAGCTAGACCGTGTAAAGAATCTGCCCTACTGTGAGACAGAAACGTTTGAAGTGAGATGTGACCCACAAGGGGCTAATCTTTCTATGGGGAATAAAGAAGTCATTCTTCCCATCAAGGTATGGTGCCCCACTGGGCCTACACGGCCCTCCATGTCCCAGCCAAGCCTGTTGAGAACCCCAAGATGATGCAGTATGGGTGATCAAAAGCTGGGCTCTGAGCACCCTAAGATGTCTATCTCCAGCCTGAGACATTGTGTGGTGGTTGTTGCTGCTGCTGCTGCTGCTGCTGTTCCTAACGCCACATGGTAACCACAATTTTCTGTCCATTCCAGGTGTATGGAGGGCCAACTATTCACCTCTGCCTCCAAGCCACTGTGACCATTCCAAGTATGACCCTGTCTTGCCACAAAGTAGAATTTTCTACAATTCAGTGTGGACAGTGTATGGTGGAAACCATCCAGCTCTCCAACACTCTCCAAGTTCCTTGTGAATGGTTTGTCCACACCCCACAGCCTACTAACAAGGTGAGTTGTGTTTCCCTTCTGTCCATCTCTACTTTAGCCAGAGTTGGGGTTCTGGGCCTTTCCTCCTATCATTTTAACTTCCTGTTGAAGGACTCTAGGTGTTAACCATTCCCCAGTCCCTCAGCCTGGTACTTGACGATGTCATAGTGGGTATGACGTCTTACTGCCCTTCTGCCTCTGGTGCACATTCAGGAAAGCACTCAGGAAACGTATCTGTTGTGAGTGGTGAGTAGAATAGATCTGTTTGCCACAGAAGTGATCTAATTGTCCAATGTTTATAACCCAGATGGATAAGCACATGCCAAAGTATTTAAGACGGAAACTACGGGCGGAGATGATTCCAAAGTCTCGTATCTTTGAGATCCAACCCACTTCTGGAGTCTTGGATCCTGGCGAGAGGGCCAATGTGCAAGTGAAATTCATGCCCAAAGAAGAGGTGAGCTTGAAAAAAATATGAGCCTTTGTAGAAATCTTCCTTCTGGGTCTCTTTGAGGTCAAAGCCCAGGCTTGCCTGAGACTCATACCTCCCATTCTGCATATGGCATGTTCTTCAAGTTCACCTACTTGCTGTATAGCCCAGTGGGTTGAGCTCAGCAGCCATGAGTAAGGTATCAACTTTCACAGAGGCATGGGATTCGTGGCATTCTGCCTCTGTATTTACAGCTATGTATCTTTGAACAAATCACTTGTCTGACTAAGCCTCATCTTGTTCAAAGGTAACATAAAAAGCAATAATATTCCCATATCAAATTCCCTTATTGCAATTCTGAAATCCAATAAGCTCAAAAAAATGGGGGTTGAAATTTCATAAGTTTCATATTAAAACTTGCTCAATAGAAAAATCTCATTTGAACTGACGTACTGTTTTGCCTTTCTTTATCCTGCTTAGTTTCCACACATTGCAACCACCAAAATATTAATGTGTTTGATTACAGGAGATGTTGCTGAGACTCCACTTAGGGCATCGGGTTCCAGAGCCTATATGCCTTGTGCTTACCTTCTTACAGATCAGAAGCTAAAAGCAGCTGGACACTGGGATTTCTGATGAGCTAGGACTGAGCCGCAACCAGGGCTCTTAGGGCCATTTAGGAGATTAATAACAGTGAATAGAGCACACAGCACACTCCCCTGTGTATTATCAGTGACCCAGGAACTATTAACTTCTCCCATCAGTCACCATGGTAGTCAGGACTTCCTGGCATAAAGCCTCCCTGAGCCTGATAAATGTCTCTTCTATAAATGCCCTGAGTTCAAAGTCACTCCTAATGGAGAGCATGGCAAGAATAATAAAATCCTAGAACTGGAGAGGATCTCAAGAAGTCTCACCATGACGACTTTTTTTCAAAGCTAAAGACATCTGAGTGATGTTTTCCTTTTGATTTTGTTTTCAAAGACAGGGTTTTATGTAGCTCAGAATGGCCTGGAGCTCACTAAGTAGCACCAAGATGGCCTTGAACTCTCAATCCTTGGCCTCACAAGTACTGGGGTTACAGTCATGCACTGTCATGCCTCATATATTCTATTCTTTTATAAGAAAAAAATCTATGTGACTTTTATGCAATATATGGCTAACTCTCATTTTCCTGGTAATAGCTTTGAAGAAATGCTTCAGAATCTGCAGCGGGAAAGCAGAAAAGTAAATAACGTTATATTTCATTCTAAAATGAAGCCTGTGCTCCTACCTATCAAAGTCTGCCAATAATGCTGCTGATGCTGAAGCTTCTCTTTCTGTCCCCCTTGTCGTCCCCCCATCCTTCTCTTCTCTCCCTCTCTCCATGCTCCCCTCCCTCTCCCCATCCCTTTTCCTCCTTCCCCCCTTTTGCTTCCCCCTCCTCCCCTCCTCCTCCTCCTCGTGCTTTTGGTTGGGCTCCATCATGTGTCTCTGGCTGGCCTGGAACTTGCTAAGTAGACCAGGCTGGCCTAAGCCTTGCTCTGCCCTTCTGCCTTGGCTGGATTACAAGTGTGTGCACATCCAACTTCCCCGTGCTTCACAAAAAAATTAGTAACATGCCTGCTGTTCTTAAGAGTGTCTTAAGACTAGCAAGGCTTTATTTTATTTTATTTTTCTTTGTGGTACTAGAAATTGAGCTATCCTTGGCCTGGTTCTGGAGTCTTATCACTTCCGAATGAGGGAAATATCACTATGGAGCCGGGGAGGTGGGATGCTTGCAATGTTCCCGAGAGTTGTTGGGGGAACTCAGTGATCCCAGAAGCTGTCACTTCCCTGCTTTTCTACCGTACTCTCTGCTGCCCACGGGCATCGACAGCCTCAGGCCCAGAGTGCCAGAGAGCGGTACCCGTGCAGGAAACTCAGAGACATGAAGACAACACTTAGGCCTTCTGTAAGTGATCAAGCCCCTCGTACAGTGCCTAGCATGCTATATACACAGCCCGTAAGTGCCCACTATGGTGATTTTACAGCTGTGTAGGAAACATGAAGTTTTGTCCCTCTGGTGGTTCTCAGTTTTACATTGTGTGTTGTAGAGGGGGGATAAAAGATGATTTTGTTTCCATGTTTTCTAGAAGTTGTACAGCCAATCGCTGCTGTTCCATATTGGCCAGAGCACTCAGAGACTCGTGCTTCTGGCACAAGGCCAAGGTCTGGAGCCACGCCTGGAATTCAGCCCTTCCGTTCTGGAGCTGGGGCCCCTCCTACCTTATGCATCAGGGGATGAGGCTGAGGTGATTGTGAGGAACCCCTGCAACTTCCCCATTGAGTTTTACTCCCTAGAATTTGACCAGCAGTATCTCTTAGAAGAGAAGGTGAGCAGAGACCAAAACCAAACACCCTTCCTGACATGGCAGCCCCCACCCCTGGCACATGTCCTTGTGTCTGCAGTAGCTCCCCTCTGGCCTGTCTCCTCCCCTTCCCTTGTCAACTTCCAATCCCTTCTCTGTAGACTTTCTCCACCTGCTTCCCTCCCCATGAGAACTTACCAATTTGTTGTGATCCCAATGTGCATTTTTAAACAAAAAGCTGGTGCATGTTCATAGTTAATATTTGCACAGTAAAGAACCACGTGTAACAACTTGCCATTGTATTTGAAATGACTTTCATTTAGACTTCTTTTAATTGGAACACTTCAAAAAATATGGATGGGGAGGTGACTTAGTAGCGTTCATTTCTTGAAGCATGAGGACCTGAGTGAGTTCAGATCCCACATCCATATGAGAAAACCAGGCAGAGTAATGCACACCTGCGATCCTAGCACTGGAGAGGCAGAGACAGGTGGGATTCCTGGAGGGTTCCTTAGGATCAACCAGACTAACCGAATCAGTAAGTTTCAGAGTCAGTGAAAGAAAACTCTGAGTCAAAAAGTAAGGTGGAGAGTGAGTGGGAAGATAGTGAATGAACATCAACCTATACCCTACACACACACACACACACACACACACACACACACACACACACACACACGCACGCACGCATGCACACACATATGCACACACACGTGCACACACACGTACACACATATACACACATACACGTACACACACACGCACACGCATACACACGTACACACAAAGGCATACACACAAGGAAATAATTTTAAAATGTGTGTACTCTGCCAATCTCTGGCCTTAGTTTGCATCTGTGCACCATTTACATTTAATGTGATGGTTGGATCTTAGGGCTTACATCCACTGTATTGTTTGCTTCTGGTTTTTGTCCTCTGCATACTGATGCTGCCTTCTTATTGGTCCTTCCAATGTTGTTTAGCATTCCATCTCAATTTACCTGGCACATTCTTCAGTATATCTCCTTATATAGCTTCCTTAGACATTGCTACACACATTATATTATGTCTCTGTAACTTCTCATGGCCCTCCTCATTTTAATATAACTGTCTTGAATATTTCCCTATAGAAGATATCATTGTAATTTTTGTTAGAAAACTGCACAGAGGGAGAAGCATTTATCCTCTTACTCTTCCCATTATTCATCGTTTTCTTTCTGTTATTTCAAGGCTTCTTTTTACTGTTTCTTCTCCATCTAAAGATCCATTATTAGTTATTCTTTTTATTATTAGTTTTTAGTTAGTACACAGAATAATGAGTTTCATTATGACATTATCATATATGTTGCCATTGTAATTTACAGCCCCACCACTCTGTTAGTTACCTTTTAGGCTAGGTTTGCTGGTGAAAATTTCATTTTTCTTCATCTGAGGATGTCTCCATTTCCTCCCTCATTCTTGAGAATGTGTTTTACTTGCTATAGAATTCTGGACCAATGGCCTTTGAATACCATGGCACTTCCTTCCAGCCTCCAGGATCTAGCAGGAAATCCAATGCTCCCTCTCTCTTTCTTTCTGTCTCTGTCTCTCTGTCTCTCTCTCTCTATGTCTGTCTGTCTTTCCTTCCCTCTCTTTCCCTTCTCTCTGAATCTCCCTTTTTCTTAACTTATGGATGATTGACATCCAAACAACTAAAAGTGGTGATCGTGGAAAAGGCTCACGTGACAGTCATGTCACCAGTCATCCTGTAGATATACATGCTTTTTATACAATTTCATTGCCTTTTACACACACTCTAGGGTTGTCAGATTTACGAGGGGAAAATTTGTAGTTACATTTAAAGTTTAGGTACATAAAAACATAGTATAATGGTGCCTAAATGTTATATACTAAAAATTATGTTATTTATCTGATATTTAAATACTTTTTACTTTCTGCCCTAACACACACACACACACACACACACACACACACACACACACACACACACACAATGTCATTTTACCAATTTTCTCTGTATTTAAGAGGAAACAACCTCACCAAGTGTAATGTTGTTCAGCTCTATGTAGTCCTGCACTGTATATTTCAGTTAACAGTGACATCATAACCATCTTGGTTTTAGAACAATGACAAAAATCACCTTATAACGCAATGCATTTCTCACGTTTCGGAATATATCCCTCTCGTTAGGTGACTTTTTAAGAATGACTCACTCAGAGTGGACAGTGGAATACTGTATGTTTGTTATTAGGAAAAAATGTATGTGTGCTATTTCCAAAGAAAGAAGATGTCTCCCAGGTGTGGTGTGCTTGGGTGTGTACGGAGCAAAACAAAGACTTTGAATCCCTGTAAATTCAGAGTGGGGCTCTACCTTTAGACCTCTCCATAGGGTCCCACCATGTAAAACCTACAAAATCTCCATAGATCTCAGCCTCTGCTAGAAGCAGGGCTTTGATGAGGCCAGTGAACAAGAGGAAACCTCCAATGGGACCAATAGCAGTTCTCATTCTCCCCCTGAGCAGATCTTGCGGCAGCTGAAGGGCTATGATTCCTACAACACCCTGCTGCTGCCTCCCCGGAACCCAGGGGAGAAGCTTCCCCAGGAGATCTACGATTACTTCAGGGAAGTGAAGAAATCAAAAGAAGAGCAGATGAAGGCGAAATATCTGGAGAATCTGCCACAGGACAACGGTGAGAACCCAGCATGAAGTACCTTGGGCTCTGGCTGTTCTTCCATCCCCTTTGAATTACCTTTGCCATGGGACCAGCCTGCTCCTGCGTACCTGCCAGGTACCAGGTGCCTGCTGTATCCTGTTCAAGACTGTTACCAAATAGGTCCTGTGGTCTTTGTGTTAAGGATGCAGGGCTGGGCGCAGTCTGCTCTCACTAGAGTCTTAAAAACAGTGACTATATAGATAGAAGAATGTGTGCTAGAGGCTGAGCCAAGGGGTTTGCACAGAAACTCTAGCAAAGAGAGTCCAAGTACACAGCTGTGTATAGAAGAACCAGGGTTCCGGTCCAAATCCTCCTGCGTGTAACTGACAGCTATCACTGTCTACCTCTGCTCCCTGTGGGCATGCTTAGATAATGTCTCCCACAAGGTGGAAATCGATGCCCTAACATATTCAAGTGGCCAGGGGCAGAGGAGCACACATCTGAAAAAGGACAGCCCTTCTGTGGTCGTCAAGATCCATCGTGAGCTTCTCTGTCATCTGACCGTCTTGTCCTCTCTGGTCCAGCAGCACTGCATTATCTTATCCCTTGCCTCTCCTGTGTGCTTGAGCAGGACGGCCCGCTTGCTGACGTGTAGGACTCTATGGCTGGTGACACTGTGCCATCTCCTTCCTGCTTCTCTGTCCCTCACGCTGAAATAGTCTCAGCCTAGTCCCACTCGCTTCTGTGTTAACAGCCCTCACGTGGGTAGTTCAGCTCTTCATGCCTGCATCTTCCACTAGACAGGGGGCTGAGGAGACAGCTCAGGGGATAAAGGGCTTGCCAGTGAGCATGAGAACCAGGTCCCCAGAAGCCATGTGTAGCAGGATGAACTGATGGTCCTGATGGAATCCTCTCCTCCTGCCTCATGGTCTCTCAAGGAAAAAGAAGCCAGTCAGCGAATGTTCACCTGACTGGCAGGAAAGGCTGCCTCTCCATTCAGTGTTCTGGCCAGTGTTCAGCACCAGTAACTTGTTGGAGTTGTTTTTACAAATGTCACAGGGCAAGTGGCTCTCACAGTTCTAGATGCTAGATCAAGGTATCATTGGGGTTGGTACCTTCTGGAACCCATCTTCTTGTGGATAGTTCTCTTCCTCCTGTGCCTCCCCACTGTGGGTCTCTGCCTTAATCTCTTCAGTGCTGATACCAGTCACATTAAATCAGGACATACCTATATGATGACCTGGGAACCTTAATTACCTACTTAAAGGACTTATTTTCAAATAAAGTCACCGTTGAGTCACCATTGAGGGGTTAAGGCTTTAGTGTATGAATGTAGGGAGACAGAAATGCATAAAATTACCCACTATGTGGCAAGTGCTGAGCTGAAGGGCTGGAAAGAAGATATATAGCATAAGGCTCCTCCCTTTGGAGAGCTCACAGTCAGGAAGATGGTCAGAGAGACAGTTCAAGACGGAGGGATGTCCAGTGTCCTCAGGAGACAGAACCTGCTGTGTACAGAAGGACCTGATGGAGGCAGACAAAAGCCTGGTTGCTCTTGAAGTCCATACACACCAAAGTTAGAAGTTTTTTTTTCCCCCATTTGACCCAGTGGAAGATGGTCTGGATCCAGGGCTGATGGGTTCAGGGGGAACCCAGGCTGGATGCTCATCATCAATACCTCACCCAACTCTGGCTGGCGCATGCTACTCTCGTGCTGTGGACTCTGACTTCTCTGGCTGTGACCCAGGGAGGGCAGCTGCCTCTAGTCACATCTCGCTTCTGAACAAAAGAGATAACTTTCCTAGGTTAGAGAGGTTCAGCTAGTGTTGTCACAGACTGCTGTACCCACTGGGATGCTGTGGAAGAGGGGACAATAATTGGGGTACTGGTCTGACAGCTGTCAGTCACACTTGACATGACACGGGAAACACTGGTGAAAAGCTAAGGGTAGAAGCAGGCTCCAGGCTGTTATGCGCAGAACCGTCTCCACATAGTCCTGAAAGCCTGAAAATTTAAAATCTGTGGAGCAATGCTTCTCCTGCTCTGGCAACTGTAAAACCAGCTTCAGTCCCTGTCACCATGTGTCTAGCTCAGTCTTTTTACTATTTTTTTTTTTTTTTACAATTTAAACTATTATTTGGGACTCTTAGGAATTCTCCAAGTTTCCTGGGCAAACGTATCCTTTCGGTCTCTAAACACATTTAAATGTAGAAACACTGTGCTCAGAGGAAATGCCAGAGCCAGCTGATTGTTGTTCTTGGTCGTTGGGATTGGTAGTACAGGGTGCTGGTCAGCATAGCCACTCTTCATCTCTTTCCCCATCTCCCTTGCTCCCCATCCAATGTGTGTTTTCATCCTCTGCTTCCCCTGCAGACGAGGAAGAGATGCCATCAGACCAGGGAACCTCCGCCAGCACAAAGAGGACGTCACTTAGCCGAGGGATCTCTGCCACATCCAACATGGAAGAACGGCATATTGTGGCTGAATCCAAAAGCTTCCCAGATGAGGACGAGGATGAAGAAAGCCTGGAAAAACTGACCTTCCAAAGTAACTGAGCATTACGGCAGGGGGCAGTTCTGTCTAGGCAGAAATGAAAGGGATATTCAATGTCTGGATAGCTCCCTCCATAAAAAGGGTACTCCAGGCCTCCTGCAGTGGCTTATACCCTCTGGTCACCCATCTACTCCCATTGTCTGTGAGCACAGAAGCCTGCAGAGCAGATTAGCATGTGATATTTTCTTCTCACTGCAGTCCCTTGCATTTTAGCTAAACTAAGGAAGACCCTGAATACTAGCACTATAGCCAAATGGGAAAAGTTTAAAGAAACACTCGGAGGAAGTGGAGAGCATTCTTCCAAATGTCCCTCAATCAAACATTAAGAAACCCTTCACTTCACCTCCCAGCATCTTGGACCCATTTTCTGGCCTTCATTTTCTCGGAGATCTGAGTTAAAGCCGGGGAACACAATGACAAGTCGGAGATAAGGGCAGATTTCCAGTGTCATGCCTCAGGTTTACCCTGAGTGGTCCCTGACCTTCTGTGGCACCTTTTCCCCATTCCACAATCCTGGCTCTACCCCTATCTTCTGAAGTGTCTTGGATTCCCCTAGAGCCAACTCCAGACTCCTCTCCACACAGCCTTCCTTCTTTATTTTTCAACAAGAGGATTTCCTCCAAGTAGAATTTAAGTCAATGAATATCTTCTTTTTTAAAAAAATTTTAAAGTGTAGAGACACATTATCAGCCAAATGAGGCCTTCTCACGTACCACGGGTGGGGACTGCTGTAGCACTGGGCATTTTAGAACAAGAGTGTTTTAAAAGAAAACTTCATTCCCATCCCTATTGGCACCTGTGTACCTATGGACATTCTGGGATGCACCCTTGTGCACACGCTCACCCGTAGTTTGGATTTACAGCTGACAAGATCCAGAGCACAGACAGCCACTCTGCGGAGGAGGTTGGCGAGGTGGAGAGCAACCCAGTAAGCAAGGCAATTGCACGCCACCTAGGCATCGACATTTCTGCAGAAGGCCGCCTGGCCAAGAACCGGAAGGGCATCGCCATTATCATCCATGGGACACCCTTGTCAGGTACGTGACAGTCCTGAGGGAGAGACTGTGGTCAGAGATGCCGTGTCTCTTCCATAAGGAACTGTGGCCACATCAGCTGTGGTCAGGGCCAATCATAAGAGTTTCACCCGAGGCACAGCATACCGAATGGTCATGTGCCCTGTCTCCAAAACAGACTGTCTATTTTACCACAGTTGGAAAACCGGCATCACACAAGTGTATTATAGTGAAGACAGACAGAGCTGGGGAGACACTTCCATAATCACAGTGCTCACAGGACAAGCATGAAGACATGGGTCCAGACCCCCCACCCACCCAGAGCCCACACAAAAGCTGAGAGCAGTGGTTTGTGCCTATAGCCCCAATGCTGGGAGGCAAAGGCAGGCAGGATCCTGGTCTAGACAGTCAGACAGTCTAGACGAAACGGTGAGCTTCGTGTTCAGCAAAACACTCTGACTTAAAAATTAAGGGGGAGAAGCCACCGAAGACAGATATCCTGGCATCACACTCTGGCATCCACACATGCCAGCGTGGGTGTCCATATATGTAGATACCACACCCAGAGACACATTTTTAGAAAAGATATTCATGATCTGCCATTTGTCATTTGGAGAAAGTGTCAAACTTAGGACTTATAATTTGTATCTGTTTGATATTGCCTCTGTAACAGCCACAAATTTAGCGGCTTGAAGAGGCGCAGATTTACCCTCCTAACATTGCCCATCTCTCTGGCTCTGGGCAACAGCCTCCACCCTCAAAGCTGACAGTGCAATCTCTTCTAGGGACTTGCTGTCACATCACTGCCTCTGACTCCAATCCTCCTGCTTTATTTCTTCTAGGGACCCCTGTAATGAGATAGAGGCCACTCAGATAATCTGTAAACGGATCACACCTGCAAAATAATCACACTTTGTCTATAAGGGAACATGCTTGCTGGCTCCAGGGACGGGAACATCTGCATCTTTAGGGGTTACAATTCAGCATCCTGTGTGACCCATTCCCTCCCTCTCTGCCTCCTTTCCTCCCTCCATCCTTTCTTTCTTCCGTTCCTCCCTCTTTTTCTTTCTTTCATTCTTGGACTCTAGTGTTGAGGCTGGCCTCATACTCCCTATATAGCTGGGTAGCTTTGAACTCCTGCTCCTCCTGCCTCTGCCTTCCAAGAGCTGGGATTACAGTTCTGTGCCACCATGCCCAGTTTATGTGGCACTGGGGATCAGACCCAGGAATTCATGCAGACTAGGCAAGGACTCTGCCAACTGAGTCACATCCTCAGACCCCATTTTGTTTTGTTAATTTTATATTAATTGTGCTTTTGTTTATTTTACATGTGTGAATATCTTGCCTGCTTGGGTATATGTGCATCACATGGGTATCTGGTGCTCACAGAGGCCGGAGAGGGCACCAGATCCCCTGGAACTGGATTACAGATGGTTGTGAGGCACCGTGTGGGTGCTGGGAACCAAACTGCTCTTTTGCTAGAGCAGCCAGTGCCCTTAACCACTGAGCTGTCTCTCCAGCCCCCAGCATGTCATTTATGCTTTATGAAAACTATCAGTAACATGGCTACCTATGCAAACTTTGCAGCTATAGGCCAACTCTAGTGTCTCTATGTGAGTGGCCTCTAGATCCTTTTTCTTTGCTCTTTTCTATTATTTCTGAATCTTCTACTTTTTAATGAAAGTAGATTGAAACGGGAAAAGCCAAGTCAGCACAGGTTACTCTTTAAACCCAACATGACTTCCTGTTAAAGATAAACAGTGGGGGTGACACAGTACTTTAGAGAGAGCAGAAGCTGTTTTTCTAACTGAGGAGGACAGCGTGGTGAGGCTGTCGGGTGCCCTGCCCCGTGCCTCCGTGGCACAGTTAGGAACGGATCTACAGCTCTGACTCACAGCAGCGCTTCCTCGTCTCCGCTGAGCTACCCCTGGCCACTTAAGAGACTTGGAGGCGAAGCACTCAGAACTCACTCCATAGGGTCCTCTGTTCTGCAGACTTCTGTCTAGGACACTGAGCAAATGAGACTCATGAGAGTCAATGCCCTGGCCATTTTTACAGGAAAGACAGCCAACGCCATCAGCATGGCCAGGTACTACAATGCAGCCTGCTTGAACATCGACTCCATTGTCCTGGAAGCCATGTCGGACAGTAACAACATCTCAGGGATTCGGGCCCGGGAGCTGTGCATCAGAGCTGCCATAGAGCAGTCTATGAGGGAAGCAGAGGAGTCAGGTAAGGCCCAGTCTCCATGGTTTTGTGTGTGTGTGTGTGTGTGTGTGTGTGTGTGTGTGTGTGTGTGTGTGTAGGTATACATGCACGTAAGGGCATGCGCATGTGAAATTCAGAGGACAATCTTACCTGTCCTCTGGAGCTGCCCACCTGGTTTGTTGACAAGGTCTTTCATTGGTCTGGAGTTCACTGATTTTAGGCTGGGCTAGCTGATCAGTGAGGCCCAAATACCCATATCCATTTCTTCTCTCCAGCACTGGGCTTACAAGTGCATGCTACCACACCAGACTTTTTATGTGGGTTCTGGGAATTGAACTTGGCTCCTCAGGCTTACATGGAAAGCACTTTACCAATTACTCTATCACCTCAGGCTCCTCTTGGCTTCTTCTGGCCAAGCGGTGGTACCCTTACTGGTAAGATCACCCCTCTATGCATCACACTGAGCTGCCTCTCCTACAGCCTGGTCGAAGGCTGACATGCGACATGTTGCCAGTTTGTCCCAAAGAGTTCTCTTCACCTAGCATATAGAGGTAGTAGTCCATGCCTGTGCAGGAGTATGCTTGACACAGTAGAAAACAGGACCATAAGGGACGCAACCCACATTGTGGTCGGACTGACACTTGGAGGGGAGCCAAAGATGAGCTCATTCGGCACAGGAAGATATCACAACCATAGACGTTTCAGTTCCTGCGAGAGAGCAAGTTTGAGACTAGACGTTTCCAACAAAAGATGACTGGGAAAGTCTTCATGGAAGTGGGCTTTGGGGATCGGGTGACTGTTAACAGGCAAAATAGAGACAAGGACAAGAAATCAGGGAAACTGATGGTAACTCAGAGGTGGGAAGGCTCGTTGGGTCAACTGTAATTAGTTCTGATTAGGAATTTGAACTCTATTGAAAAAGAAGAGTTTGGGGGTGACTGTGGCCTGTCTTCCAGAAAGTGGCTCTCATAATGTAAAGGGAGCAATAGAAAAGCAGAGGGAAATGGCCTTGATCCAGCTGGCTCTGTGTCTACCTGCATGGTGTGGAATTGAAGGAGCAGGGGGACGTTCAGGGATGATCACAGAGACTTCTAGCCACAGAAACTAGGAAAGTGGTGTCATCTACCATGGACGGAATCCTGGGGGGAGGGGAGGAGGCAGCATAAGGAGATGGATTGAACTTTTGGATCTCGTCATAGAGAGGCCTAGTGTGGTCTTCCCATTACAAGCCAAGAATCCTGCCTCCATCCGGTCATTTGAGGACCGCAGGTCAGGAAAGCAGCTGCACAAGGAAAAGAATATACTGAGTTCGAAGCAAAGGACCTGCTTAGAGCTGGCTGCTGCCTGATCAACTCTCAGTCCCTCCACTTGAAATGCTCAGGGGAGAAAGCAAGGTTCTTTGATGAGTAGATAAGAGAAATAGTTCTACAGGGAAAATCCCAGGCAATACATAATTCTAACTTTTTTGTTTTTGTTTTTGTTTTTGTCTTGTTTTTCGAGACAGGGTTTCTCTGTAGCTTCAGAGCCTGTCCTGGAACTCATTCTGTAGCCCAGGCTGGCCTCAAACTCACAGAGATCCACCTGCCTCTGCCTCCCGAGTGCTGGGATTAAAGGCATGTACAATCACTGCCCGGCCATAATTCTAACTCTTTTAAATGTTCTTTTCCGACAAATGATTCATGTGATTATGTTAGCATCCTGGCGAAAATGGTGAATTTGAGCTCCTGAACCGAGTACCATCAAGCTAGAGATGGTGCTGGGGGAGTCTGTCAGTCAAGTGAAAAGTGCAGACACTGGACAAGGTGGAACTGGCCCCGAGAGGAAGCACTGTAAGAAAAGCTAGGGGACACGTAGCTGGGGGTGGGGTCCCAAAGGCAGGGGCTCAGCAGGACAGGCACTGGAGAGAGAAGGGGAGAGCCTTGCAGCTTTGGGGGGAGGAAGACATGTGAGCGAGGCTTTCGCATCTTCTTCCTCCTTGCTTTGGGCCCTTTGTTCTCATGAACACGCTGTTCTCATCTCGCTTACTTTGTTCTGTCGTCTGTCTCCTCTGCTCTCGGTCCGGATGGGAGCAACGTCAGCCATAGAGCTGACACCTGACTAGGATGTATTTTCAAGAACAAAAAGTCATTGAACCAATAAGTGAGCAGAATTGGAGCCTGCTGAAAGCTATAAGGAAATGAGCCCTACGATGGTCTCTCAAGGTCCAGAGGTTTCTGATGTCTTTGGGGGCCCCAGCGGAAGGGGTAGGCCCTGCTACAGTCAGCAGGCTGGAAGGAGGTCACTAAGTCCAAGCCTGCCTCTGCCAAGCAGGAGCCATTAGCTTCAGGAAGATACTGAGTGCTTGAACTGTGGCTAGTTGAAGCTTAGCTGAGGTAGAAGAGCGCAGTGTACGCTGGACCACTGAGGACGCAGGGTGAACGGGAGAACTCACAACAGCATTGTCAGTTTTTATGCTTGGCTTACAAATTGAACTGTCCATTGCCATGTAAGAGTTTTTTAAAAAATATACTGTTTTGGTTGATTTTTTTACTTTTATGTGGCTATTGGAAATTTTTAAATTATAGACATTATTGTGACAGTGGTTGTACTGGCTGGTTTTGTGTGTCACCTTGACACAAGCTAGAGTCATCAGAGGAAGGAGCCTCAGTGGAGGAAATGCCTCGATGAGATCCCCTGTAAGGCATTTTCTCACTTAGTGATCAAAGGAGGAGGGCCCAGTCCATGGTGCCATCCCTGGGCTGGTGGTCCTGGGTTCTGTAAGAAAGCAGGCTGAGCGGGCCAGGAGAAGCAAGCCAGTAAGCAGCACCCCTCCGTGGACTCTGCATCAGCTCCTGCCTCCAGGTTCCTGCCCTGTTTGAGTTCCTGTCCTGACTTCCTTCAGTGATGAACAGCAATGCTGAAGTGTAAGCCTAATAAACCCTTTCCTCCTCAACTTGCTTTTTGCTCATGGTGTTTCACCACAGCAACAGAACCCCTAACCAAGACAGTGGTGGTTTGGATCGCTGTTAGAGAAATTGAGCAGTAAAGGGGACAGAAGTGAAATGATTACAGGACAGTGGAGAGGAAAGGAAAAAAGGAAGAAGGGAAAGAGAAAGGGAAAAGAGAAAGGAAGTCATCCCTTCAAATTAAAACGTTTGCTAAGAAGCTCTTGTTGAAATATGGAGAGTGCTGTGGACACTCTAAAGAGATTGTACGGTCAATGAAGAACAGGGGTGGGCATGAGAGCCAGAGAGAGTCCACAGTGAACAGTAGTCGAGACTTAGGTGAGACTTTAGTGGCCTGTGCTTCTGAGGGAAGCTGGGTCCAGCAGAGTGGAGGCGTTGGGTGTGGTTACGGCATGGTGAGAGGTGTGGTGAGTGGAGGACCAGCAGGTTCTCTAACTGCCACAGGACTCAGCTGGGGCTACTCCACTAGGGAGGTTCAGCCTCCCTAGTCCCCCATCAGGTACAATATGGCTTCTCGATACATAGTCCCAAATCCTGGGAGAGGGGCAGAGGGAGTTGCAGAAAACAATAAACCAGAGTGAAATGTAGCTGTGAGGGAACTCCGGAGACTTATTTGCTGAGATGATTGACAGGAACATTGAGTATGAGTCTCCTCAAGAGCTAGAGAACCATGGATGCTACTTAGCTTAGGAGGCAAAGAATGTGTTCTCCACCCCGGTCTCCTTCAGGGGTGCCTAGTCCATCTTTGAAGGCAGTCCCTGGGGGCACAATGAGAACAGGGCAAATATATCAGAAGCCTGAGGCAGCACAAAGGTACTCCAGCAAGAGCTTTTCTAACTAGATTTTAAATAACTGAAAGTTTAGAAAGTATCTCAGTAGAGGGAGCTGAGAGGGTAGCAGTCTGCTTGGAAGAGGAGTCGGGAATGAAAAGAAAAAATGAACTGTTGAATAAAGTCATATTTGCTAACAGTCACACACTTCTTCCTTAGCCCACTTATCATTTGAGTTGGCTCTGCTGTGGGTAGAAAGAACTCTGCCACAGCAGCTATTCCTTGGCCTTACCACTGCCCACAATCTCAAAAAGGTAAAGTGTCAGATTTCCAAGGCAAGGCCTTTTGCACAAGCAACTCAAGAAATTCTTGGCCTCTGGGCTGGGAAAGAAAGTGGGCACAGACCATTGAAAGGATGGGCAGTGTGGTAGTTTGAATGAGAAGTGTCCCCCATAGGTCAGATATTCCAATACTTGGTCCCCAGTTGGTGGTGCTGTTTGGGGAGGTTCGGGACCGTTTAGGAGGTGCAGTCTTGCTGGAGGAAGTATATAGATGTAACCAACCGTCTTATTAAATAAGAAACACAGAAACAATGCAAAAGAGAAAGCCGAGAGGTCAGAGCTCAGAGCTAAAATCTCACCCTTCCGCCTGCGGTGTCCCAGCTTCCCGAAT